GATCTAGTTAAGATTTTTTTTTTTCTTCTAGATATCTTACATCTATCCACTCTGAAGCTCATTTATCAACTTCTTGCCCACTTAAGTCACTCTAATGAAGTCTTTCAGGAGCTGGTCACTGGTAGTACTGAATTTCACTATCCAAAGGAGCTTCTTGTTAGCTATGATCTCAGAGACTTCAGGGTTCATTATCTTTTATAGGTCATTAAAGACAATGAATAAAACTGGACCAAGCATGGAGAACTCTACTTGTGAATTTTCTTCATGGTAAAAAATCCATAAAACTCTGTCCTTTGTTTTGTGTGATCTAGCTGGCTTTCAGTCCACGAAGAAATTTCTTCAGTCCCATGACACTTCTGTTTCTCTAATAACATTGCAGTGGAATATTATTGGAAGGCTTTTGGAAAACTTACGTATATTCATATTCCCTTTACTTGCATGCTGACAGCTTCATAGAATTAGAGAGAACTAGTCAGACATGATTTCCCATTGAAGAAGCTCTGCTGACTTCTGCAACAATCTTTGTCTGTGTGCTCTGTTAGTCTTTGTTTTATCACCTTGTCAGGGACAGCAATCAGCTTTCCCAGTCTACAGGTCCAGAGTCCCTTTTGCAAATGGCTTTTTCCAGATGACTGTTTCTAGCTTTACACCAAGGAAAAAAAACTATCTGTAGGTATCTTTATATAAGAAAAAAAAAAGAAGGTAGTTTTTTAGAATATTCTTTGAATATGCTCAGAAGCCCTGGTTCATATTAGAGGTTGAGAGCTAGATGTAACCAATAACTTGGGTTTGAAAATTGTAGCTTAGCTGTGATTTTTATAAAAAGCATTACTTCAAGAAATGAACCTTTAACTAATAAAAAATTTATCTCTCCTGTGTTGTTTACTTTGGTTGGAAGCCTGCTGATACCTTGTCCTCTTTCCATTTTTCATGAGAAAGGATCAGTCTTACCAATCAGAGATTACAGACACAGGGATCCATAAGTGAGGGATGTCATGGTCTTGCAGTGATGTAATACATGGCAGCTCATCTGTATAAGCACTCATTTTTATCACTACAATCTTGGAGCACCACAATACTAAAAATAGTATTGAAGTGGTGGAAATGCTGTAATCATTGACATTTTTTAATTTCCGACATAGCTGAGCAAGAAGCTGGAGAGGTTTCAGTCAACACTTCATCCTCTATTCTGTAATCCAATCAATTATTCTTCAATGACATTTTTGCACGTGGTGTCTTGGTGACAGTGAGGAAGTAGACTGAGCCACAGGTTTAGACTACGTAGTTAAATTTTAGCAAATGTACATATTCTCAAAAATTATTTACCTAAGTAAATCACTTTTGTTGTCAGATGTTAAATGAAACATGTTAAATGAAAGGGTATCTATAAAATATTAATAGAAAAGTTACAAATTTTAACTTTATGCAAACCTTCAGAAACACTTTTGCCTATAAACTCTATTAGTTGATAGAGTTTAAAATTTTATCTAGTTCTGTGTTTTCTGGAGCGATTTAGAGAATGTTATAATTACTTTTATTAAAAAGGTGTCTTTGAAATCTGATGTAAACTACTACAGAAGAAACGTTAAGAAAACTTATAGTGAAGGATTGCATTATGCACCCTGTGAACAATTATACTGGATATTGCATATTAGTACCAGTGCATTTTTTTTTTAAGCTAATGAAATATATCATGGTATCTTAGACTGAAAAATACCATTATGTTCTGTACAGGATATTAAAATGTTCATTGGTAGATTGCTAGCAAGCCCAAATAATCAATTTCCTATATTAATTTAGGTAAATTGTTTGTGTAAAGATTACTTTAATGATATATACATCCAATTCACCGCTTGAAATGATTTAAAAGAGAATTTAAGAGAAAATAACTATGCTGAACACAGATTTATGATGAAATTGTATTTGCATTTGTAATTGTTCTGTTTCAAGTAAATTGTTTTGCATATTGCGCAGAAACTGTGTGTCCTAGGGAGCACAGACTACTGCCTCTAGAGACAGCGTGCCCAAAAAGGAAACATAAAAGGAAGCTGGATAAAGTGGAGAAAAGCAGTCCTGGCTCCATCTGCTGTCTGGTTTTTCTCTCTCCCTTTTATTTTCTTGGCAGTTTCTTTCCTGGGGTATTTGGGGTAGTTAGGCCCCCCTATATTTCTTTGCACACAGATTGATTTTTAACTATACTTCTGCTTTTGCTTGCTGTTGACCCCAACTATTTCATTTTGTATTCCTGAGCACCATTGATAGTTTTGTTCTCTGTTGTTCCTACTGGCTATAACTCAGACAAAACAGGAATGGGGTGTTTTTTTTTTTTTTTTTTGTCACCCTAAGATCAAGTTAATTTTGTGGCCTTCTCTTCTTTTTCATATGCGTTGCTAAATCCTGTGAGGAAGCCCAGCCACAGTTCTAGAAGTGTTACTCATCCTTACACTCAGGCTCACTCGGGCTGTATCAAAGCACAACTGACAGGTCTACTCCAAGTGCTGGCTTTTCATGTCAATCTTTCTCACAGTCCTTTGAAAAAGAAAGGACCAAAAAAGCTTTTGTTGGACCAAAGCTGAGGACCTGAGAGTTTGGAGTGTTAAAGATTTTCCGTATTCTTTTGTAATAGGTTTAATCTTCAGAATAATTTCTGAGGCTGCACTAATTTGGGCCAAACCCTCAGTTATAGAGACATCTTTTTCTGCCCTAACTCTGTACTGTATATCTCTACTTTCCTTCCAAAACGGTTTTGTTCTTTTTTTCCCCAATAAATACAAATATTTTACTTGAAAGGTGTAATTTACCTGGATGTTCAGTAGATTTCAACAAATTTTTAAAAATATTTTACAAATGGCAGAATTTTGCAGTCACAAAAACCTCCTAATTGGAATTAGTCTAAATACTCACATTTGGAAAATGGCTGCAAAATAGAAAGAGCACTTTTGAGTCAGTCCTAGAGTTCAAAAATTGTACTGAGCTATGATCCTGAAAAGATGTACATCACTGTTCTTTTAAAACAGAGTTCTATCTCAAATACAGGACCCAATTAAAATTTCAAAGGGGAAGTCTAACTCTAGATTGCAGAAATACTGAAAATACAATGCAGATCCTAAATATGTAGGCAAGGATGCAAATAGCTCTTTAAAAATATTTATCTTTGTATTCTTAGATCTTAAAAATAGCACTGAAAACTCCAGTTATAGCTAAACATCAGAGAAGCTTACTGTGACTGGAACTGATAGGAATTCAAACTTTATTATAGAGAGTCTTTCTAAAATAAATAATTAAAAAAGGATAATTGGTGAAAATAAAGTTTTTTCAGATAAGGAAGAACATTTGTTCACCCGAATACAAAAATTTCAAACATAATAGCAGATTAATAATGCTACATGTTCATCACACTACAAAATACTACAATCAATGATTCCTTCTATTTTTGTGACATGAGAGGTAAAACCACTTCCAGGGTGTGTAAGTCTGGAACTAGCTTAGATAGCAGAATAAAAAAACTTTATATTTGAGTAATTCTGATACTTGAGAAAGTTAAAAAACTCCAAAACACAAAGCAAACCAAACCAGATACAGAACTGGGGTCTTTGATAAATGCCTACATTAACATTGAAAGTGAGTTACTTTTCTACAGCTTACTGAAGTAGCATATGCTTCTGGGGGTTTTTTTCAGCCTAGAAACTAATAATTAGACATTCTTTAAACAACTTCCCTTATCAGCAGTAATTAACATACAAGACAAGTAAGATCTCTTTTAAGGAAGTGGTTATTTGCTGAAAAACATACATTTGGTTGTTCCCAAACTGCTTGTGAATATCAGTTCAAGTGTTTCCAGCTGTAATGGAGGAGTTGGAGTGATACAGCTGTGGAATCATCAGCTGCCTTTTACTCAACAGGTCTGCAATTAAGGAGTCCCTTTTGTTGACGTTGTTCCATAGGGACTGCTGAATGCTTAGCAGACATAGTTCTTGAGCTAGATAATTTCAGGGAAGAGGAAAACAGCTTAAAAAGTTAAAATTCATTCAGTTCGAAGTACTTCCTCTCCAATCCCAACCACTTACTAAAAAAAGAGTCAGTCCTAGACTTCAAGGTTTTATTTTGTTAAATAATATAAACCGTTATTATTATTACTATACTAAAAAATAGCATTTTGTGTCCATTTTTAGGAAAGCAGCCCCCACAAAAAATTTATTACAGTTCATTTTTATGTGTATTTTTTATGTGTCTTGGGGTTTTTAATGTGTCTTGTTATTTCCACTTTTGTTCTTATGTTAGTGTTCTCCCTCATCTGATTCTTCCTCATAAGAATTGGGCAAGTCATGTTGGTCATAACCTCCAAGTTAAGGTAACTTAAAATACTGAGACAGTCTTCAAGGATGTGTTGTATCATGCTCAGTTTATTTATTCCCCAAAGTATTTCTGCAAAAATTAGAATTAAAAGCATAGTATTGTAAATAAAGATTAAGAAAGGGTGAGTGGTTCAGCTGCTCATTTTGAGAACATCTTCTCTGGCGTCTTTGTTTTCTAAATTGATATTAAGGGTTTTTTTCCTCATAGACTCGATTCAGTTTATTGGTTTATTGGATCTTTTCCCCTGGACATATTCCATTTCTTTCTGCTGGAGCTGTTCTGTTGAGGCTGAGTGTTTTGAAAGCATATTATGTGTCTTTTTTTTTTCAGTTTACAGTTCAGCTGCCCTGCATATTAAGGTTATCTTTCAGCATACCACTTCAGCAATATATACCAGTTGTATAATAACATATACTTTGCAGTCTACTTTCTTGCAATAAAACCATTTAAAATATTACTGAGTGAAAAGCATAACTAGAAATTCATATGAACAAATTTCACCTCTGTATTCGAAATACTGTATATTTTTAAATACTTCTCCTGAAATGTATTGAAAATGCTACAACATATAGAAAAACATAAGCATGAAACATTGATGCTGTTCTCTTGCAGTTCAGTCACTTTGCTCCTTTGCTCTGTTTCAGACGGTTCGCCATGGTTTTCCTTACCTACCCACTGCCTTAGCTTTTGACCCAGTTCAGAAAATTCTGGCAATTGGAACAAGAACAGGAGCCATACGAATGTATCCTTTATCATTCAGAATTTGCACCATTTCTGTGTATTTGTAATACAGGGATGGGAATTACCTTCCTCAAGCACTCAGGTAAGGCTACAGTTTTTATGTTCTACTTATTTTGCTTTATGAGATAGACTGGAAAAAAATGTGCTGTTGAGGAATCAGCCAGGTCCCCAAGGGGTTCAAAGAACAATTTCTGATTGCATTTTTAGCATATGGTTGTGGCATATATTGGTTAAGATAAAACAAAATTGATCTTTTTCAGCATGAAAAGTAAAAGTGGACAGCAAAGTGGTAATGAGCAAGTTGTGAATGTTGTGCTAGCAATAAATAAATTCATTGCTGCAATGCAGTTAGCCAATGTTAGATTGCAGTTAGATGGCTGTGTCTGAAATTATTTAGACACTTCCAAGTGAATGGTGGGAAATAAGCTATTTCAGGACAGAATTCATCTCTTCCCAGAGGAGAAGGTGAAGCACTATAAAAGTGCCTATTTCTTTTTGTTAATTATAAAGGTACTTCAGTGCCAGCAATTTATATGTTGTTTTTAATACAGTAGGATTTTGAAGTTAGAAGTCTATACAGAATAAATTTAATTACAAGGTAATTAAAATTTGACGATTTAAATTTAAGAAAAAAATTAAGATTATTTAAATGTGATGTTTTTCAAAATGTTTCTCTACATAATTTTCTTAGTTTGGCATGGTTCCAATGTTTTCCACTTCAGTGAAAATACATATAAAGCAAGGAAAAAAGGAGAAAGACAAGAAGGTTTAAAAGTTACAGAATACAGAACTACTGAACCAATGTTTCTTGCAAACTTCTTGTAGCCAAATAAATTATGGGTTTAAAGTAGGGGACAATGCTGTATGAAACAGCAATATAATATTTTCTGGTTCTTTTGCTATCCCTGTTCCCAAGGTAACTGTAAATGTAATGAACCCAAGGCAGGTTACAAAGTAAAGAAAAATCTCCTTGTGGAAAGCAAGCCTGTGCCTCATGTAAGGTTACTAAAACTTTGGTTATTCCATTTTTGGGTGCTCTTGGTCTGAACAGTTGCATTTTCGTAAGCCTCAAATTCTGTCTGATCCAGAATCTCTTGCAAGACTCAACTAAACCTCAAGTTATGTGACAAGCTTTGCTTTGATGGTTCTACTCTTTATTTCTGGTCTGTGTGAAGTAGATTGAATATATTATGTTCAAATGCAAAGAAGAAAGTGTTTGTGAATTTGTGTACTTCTGGGAAGCGCAAGTCTAGTAGTCATGGTTTCTTCTTCTTTTTAGAGGTATGCAAGGTTAAAAATCTGGGGCTTTGTCCCTGGAAGCTTCACTGATATCTTCAGAGTGAGGGTATTGGGAATTTCATGGTAGAAGTAGGAAGAAGACCTTGCAGAATATTGACTCCTGAGCCCACCTCTTTCTTTCCATCTCAGCAATTTTCTAGGAGCAGTGCTGTCACTGGCTAGGCATCCTCCATCTCAACAAATCCCTCCTTTGAGGAAAATTCAGGTACAGAGCCTGAATTAATACAGGTTTATGTAGAATTAATTTAAACCTGCATGCCTCCTGCCACAGGAATGGAATATGAAGTGGAAAAGTAGCTATATCCCTGAGCTTATATAAAATTCTCTATATGTTTTCTATAAAAATAGATTATAAAGAGTTAGCAGAAGGGAAAATAATGTTTTTCACAGTGTCCTTCCTTTTAACATTTCTTTTCCTGTTTGCTAGCGAACTCCTACCTCATTCATGGAAAAATTTCTATCAGTTCTAGTATCTTAATCAAGCAAGAGCAGCAGGATTACCAGGGAATTTGATTTTTCTTTTTTTTTTTTTTTTTGGAAGATATGTCATAACATAAATGATTCTCAGCTTAGTCACAGAGAGCCTGGTTTGCTTAATTGAGCCCTGGTTTAATGGAAACTGTGCTTTGAAGACAGAGGGTGCCATAAAAAGAATTACTTATTTATTCATTTTAACCGAGGTTTCTCCACTTGGCTGTAAGTTTTGCAGAACATATTACATAAAATACCTACTTGTGGACTAATAAATTTGCAGTGAAACAGGCCCTAAGACTACCCCCAGAACACCACTCATTTAAGCCAGTGTTGTTGCAGATGTTTGTAGTTGTTGAAATCAGGCAATAAAACTCAAGCTAAGATGTAACAGATTATAAGTATTACATCTGAAAGCACAATTCATAATGTGGGGTGTTTTTTTAGCAAACTAAGGAAAATACAGGTTTTAGTGGCTCTGAGTGTAAAAATACTTTTTAACAGAACTGCATAATTTCATTCTGCCATGAGTATGTCACGTAAGAAAAAGGGAATTCTTTATATACATACATTGTGTTTGGCTGGTGTTTCTAAACAGTATTGTTGGTGGAGTGAAAGGACTTGGCTGCCATCAGAGAAATTCACCCAATTATTTATTTGTTTGTTTACTGGTTGTGCCAAAGGTACATGGTTTGTGTCAGACTCTTCTTAAGGGAACGCAAAAGGATGGGAAGACTGAATTTATGTTTAATACTCATGTAATGATGTAGAACAAGTTTTGCTGTGATTAGTCCAAGTCACATGATGGTACTGTTGCCTCCTTGACTTTCTAAAAGGTTCACAAGGTATTGGTATTTCTACTGGTCACAAGTTAACGGGTCTCAAAAGACAAGCTGTTTTTTAAGAAAAGGAAGCATGTCCTTCTGTATTGTGAGTTGTCTAACATCAGGCCTTCAGGTGATCATTTCAAGTGATCCAGCAGCAGTACTGAAGCTGACTATGTTAAATTGTTCTGAAATAGAGCATATTATTCATAAGCTGCCATTAGAATGCAGAGATAAATGGAAGTTCATTTTGGTCAATTTGGCAGTCAATTTGTTTTCTCCTAGATTTCTTTTCAAGGTGCTTAGATGCAACTGCTCTCTCTAGCTTCTGTAGCACTGGGAATTGTTATTGCTACACTTTACTGATCCTAGCAGTCTCTGTGGGTTTCCCAAGGAAGTTCAAAAAACTGCAGGCGTCACCTACAGTGATGGCTGCTGGGTACTGGATCCTCATAGGAGCAGCCCACGGAATCAGACTGCACTGCAACCCATTGATGGAAGAGTATCCCTACTACCAGCACAAGCTAACAAAGTCTGCAAATAAAGGGCCAAAACCCCACTCCTGAAACAGTTGCTCTGGCATCTGATCATTCTTTACCTTTGTACTAAAGATAGCAAATTTCATTTCTCCCTTGAGGTCTCTTCTTCCTGTCGGAAGCCTGTTTCCAGCTCTCATACTTGTGATCATTGTTCAGATCATTGCTTGGTACCACTCTTAAGTGGAATGTCCTTGCTTCAGGAAAACACATTCAATTGAAGCTGGGCTATGAAACTGATTTCCTTTTCTTATTGTCTCCATATCCATCTTCTCTAGTCCCAGTGAAGAATCTTCTGACACAATAAAACTGAACTGAATAAAAATAAAGAGCTGTGCAGTCTCTGATTGCTGTCAGAGCAGGTTCTGTATCACCATACAAGGAGGTGAGAAATTAAGATACTTGGTCAGACTTAAGTATCTTCTTGATTTCAGAGGAAAAGGAGAAGTCTGGGGTTTTTTCACATTCTCAGTCTGAATAAATAGATTAAAATCAGTATTGTTAACAGTGATTATTCCAATAACAGATCTGAAGGAGTGGCATGCTATGCTCGGATTTCACGATGCGTATTTCTATACTGTCATTTATTCTTCTGAATTTGTTGTTAAAATTCATTTTCAGTACTTTCTGGAGTCACTGAGTCCTTTCCTTTGGAGTTCTTTTAACGATGCATATTTCTGTATTGTCATGTATTCTGCTGAATTTGTTGTTAAAATTAATTTTAAGTACTTTCTGGAGTCACTGAGTCCTTTCCTTCTTTTGTTGCATCAAAGCTGTGCTTAGCCATTACAGCTCTCTATTTCAAACATACAGAATACAACATCTACTGGTTTGGGGTTTTTTTAATCAAACTGCTGACTATTTAGTGGTCAACTGCAGTGAGAAATTCTGAAAGAAACTCTTCTCTAGCTATTACCATCTTTGCTTATCATGCAATGAGAGGAAGTTTGTCTTAAATCCAGTGCAAAGAAAACACTGGGTCCAGAATGGCCTCCACACCACCGAAAAATTCACCATCAAACAGGCTTAAATTAGTAATATGTTTTTGTATGTGTTATAGTGTGGTCTGGTGCTATTATTGATACATATTCTTTAGACTTACAGGCTCCATATTGCCATGGATGCAGGTTGTGGGCCATGCAGATCTTCACTTTCAATCTAGTTGCTTAAGGAAAGCTGTAAGGCATCTGCCGCCCATGGAAGGCTTTTCCAGTAGGAATAGCTCTTTGTTATCCTTGATATCATAAAATACAGTGGCCATTTTATACCTAGGCAAAAAAAAACATTATTCTGACTCACTAACACATGCCAGTGGAAGCGTTGCTCTATCCCCACCTTCAGCTTAGCTGCACAGTTCTGATCCTTCCTTTGCTCCAATTCTGCTGCCTGTCAGCTCTATTACTGTGAGCCATGCACTAACCTGGCAAAATACCAGTTCTTCTGCTGTGCTACTTTTTTTGCCAGATTAGCAAACTGATTTATGTGGTGCTTACTTCCAGTGCTAGTCAGAATGGTTCATAAAGTGGCAGGAGTGCAGTTGGGACTGGATAGAGAAGGAAATGGGGGAGTAACAAAATATTGGCACTAAGTAGCGGGTTATTAAATTGGCTTGTCTTTGTGTATGAAATTGCATCTGATAAATTCAGGTATGGCAGATTATGGCTGTCTATGAAATTTGCTACAAAATATAGAAATAGTCTTTCAATTTTGAGTGGTATAGAAGATATCATCTCACTTATTTTTAGAAAATCTTCATGTAAAGCCGTTTGGAAATCACAAAAATTCTACAGGTTCTGCGTAAGGGAGATTCTGCTTTAGGATCATATTTGAAATAACTTTTTCTGGCCTGTTTTATGCATATCTTCCAAAGC